GAAAGTGGTCGCTTTTCTGTTCAGAGTGTTGTTACTATTCTTATCTTCGATCTCCTGTTGAGTTCGTAGGTGTTCAGAGTGGTTTGATCCCTATTCAGCTGAATTCCTGAGACCAGACGAAATCCAGGTCTCCTACTCCTCCGCCATCTTGCTCCGCCCCCTCGCCCTCCTTCATTTCTTATTACAGTCTTTGGTTTAAATTCTAGTTTGTCTGATATAAGTATTGCTAGTCTGGCTTTCTTTTGACTTCCATTAGCATGATAGATGGTTCTCTATCTCCTCACTTTCCATCTGCAGGTGTCTTTAGGTCTAAAATGAATGTCTTCTAAGCAGCATATCAATGGGTCTTGTTTTTCATCCATTCTGACACCCTATGGCTTTTGATTGGAGCATTTAGTTCATTTGCATTCAGAGTAATTATTGATAGATATGAATTTAGTGCCATTTTATTACTTGTTTTGTCCTTCTTTCTGGAGATTTCTTGTGTTCCTTTCTAGTCTTTTTTGCTTTCGGTCTTTCCTCCCCACTCAAAGAATCCCCTTTAATATTTCTTGCAGGGCTGGTTTAGTGGTCATGAACTCCTTTAGTTTTCATTTGTCTGGGAAACGCTATCTCTCCTTCTATTCTGAATGATAATCTTGCTGGATAGTGTATTCTTGGTTGCAGATTTTTCTCATTCAGCACATTGTGTATATCATGCTACTTTATTCTGGCCTGACAAGTTTCTCTGGAGAGATCTGCTGCTAACCTTTTTATCTTCCCTTATAAGTTAGGGACTTCTTTTGTCTTGCTGCTTTCAGTATTTTTTTCTTTATATCTGTATTTTGCAGATTGAACTACAATATGTCTTGGTTTGGCCTACTTTTATTGATTTTGATGGGAGTTCTCCATGCCTCCTGGATCTGTAAGTCTGTGTCCATCCCCAGATTATGGATGTTTTCAGCTATTATTCCTCAGATAAACCTTCTGCCCCCTTCTGTCTTCTTCTTCTGGGACTCCTTTGATACGAATGTTATTTTCATCGAGTCACTGAATTCTCTAAGTCTAGTTCCATGATCCAAGATTTTTCTTTCCCTCTTTTGATCAGCTTCATTATTTTCCATAATTCTATCCTCTGTATCATTTATTCATTCCTCTGCTTCTTCCATCTTTGTGGTCATTACATCCAGTCAGTTTCGAATCTCAGTTCTTGCATTTGTCATTTTGGCCTGATTGGCTTTAAGCTCTTTTTATCTCTGTGGTAAGGGACTCCCTGATGTCTTCTATGCTTTTCTCGAGGCCAGCTAGTATCCTTATGATTGTTGCTTTAAATTCTGGCTTTGGCATATTGCTTACATCCGTTTCAATTAGATCCCTAGCCGTGACCTTTGCTTCTTCTTTCTTTTGGGATGAATTCCTCTGTCTTGGCATTTTGTTTAGGTTTCTGTCTTCTGTGTGTTAGAAAAGCTTGTGTTGTTTCCTGCCCCTGAGAGTAATGGCTTTACGAAGAAGAGGCCATACAGTGTTCAGGACTGGTGCCTCAGGAAGTGTCTCTGGTATATGCTGTGTGCACTCAGTTGCGGTATTACGGCTGCTCTTTTCCTCAGGTCAGCTGTCTGCAGAGGCTTTCCTAGCCTGCAGCGGGGAGTGTTTGGATCTTGGTCAGAGTGTGCTGAGTTTTAACTAGGTGTGCTCTGGTCTGCTTGTTTCCAGTAGAGCTGAAGCTCTGCAGAACTCTGTGGTCGGTAGTGGTGTGTGTGTGGTGGGGGAGTTGTGCTGGTCTTCTTGGGGAGGGGCCTGCTGCCCTTGCTCTCAGGCACACTTGCTCAAGAAAGCAGTACCAGCAGAGTGCAGGGGGCGGGGCTGGCTGTAAGAAATGTCGCAGCCAGTGTTAGCACTGTGCTGTTTACTGATGTTGGGTTATGCTGAGGGGCAGGGGAGCCAGCCAGTTCCTTTGTCCCTGCGGAGGGACTTTGTGCTCACTGCTGTCAGGAAAGCCCTCCCAGAAGAGCGATAATTTCCCTTCAGGTGTCCTGGGTGTTTTTCAGATCACTGTTTACGTAGTCTGTGTCCGGGTTGTTTGCCTGCCTGGACCAGTGCAGGCACTTTGGGTTCTATCCTGCTCCAAACTTGAGGGACCTGGTGTGGTGGGAACCTGGCTGGTCTTCTGTGGGAGGGTCTTGCCGCACTGGGATTGATGGTTTGACCCAGAAGGGTGGTTGCACCAAGATGCAGGAGCTTCTGGCTTGGAGCAAAGCACACAGAAGAGCCAGTGTCCAGGTTAGCTGCCCTCAACAAGTGTCTCCGCACCTGTGCTGATGGGTGGGGGAGGGAAGTGGTGCCTGCTGGCTCTTTTGTCCCAGGAGAGGTAATACCACCTCTTCCAGATGTGCTCCAAGAAGGGGGATCTGTCTCAGGTGATCACGCTGTGGGCCCCGGGGTTGCCTGCCTGCTTTCTCTACAGGAGCACTGCAGCGCCCTCGGGCTCTGTTCCAGCCACAACCCGGACCTCTAAAACTCCAGTCTTTGAGCCCTGCTTGTTGTAAAACTCACAAGAATCAGCCTCTCATTTCCCAGTCAATGGCTTTGGGGAAGTGTGCTCCTTGCTTGATCCCTGGTGCGCTCCTCTGTCTGTCTGTCTCTGTCTCTCTCTCTCTCCGAGACCAGGATGCCCTCCCCTCTACAGCACCTGCAATCTGTTTCTCCCCCAAATCATATCT